AGAGTAAAAGGCCTGGAAGGAAAGAAATCCTTATATAGAGACTTACACTCCAGTTACAAACGGAAAGGAGATAGAAAACAGAGTTTTGTAGTAATTGCTTGTAATAAACTGTTATTTGTTATCGTCAGAACGACCTTGTGATTTTAATTCATTTGTAGCTAAAATGTTTACCACGGGTGTATCGGATATCCGATTCGAAAGGTAAACACAACACCAGCTGCAACATAACAGAGAACAGATCGTGGTGTATCTAGTTGCGACATAGCAGGAACGGAGTGCAGCTGGTATGGTAACATATACAAGTTGTCATTCCTCCGAAACCAATGACGTAAATGAAACCCGACAGCGACAAAGCAGTCCACGGTCCTAGAGGCCTGTCCTTTTGTCGGTTTTACAACTAGAATATCTTTATCGTTTTAAGTTCTTTTTCATCTGTGAAGAGATTGCCCTACATTAACTTAATTCTCTGCTATATATATATATATATATATATATATATATATATATATATATATATATAGCATTATAATTGAAATAAATTATTTAAATGAAATAACTAGATATTAGCGACCGTATACGCGCGTACTGGCGCGTATAAGCTGGTAAGCAAATAAATAATTATCAAATTTACCCAAGAGGTGTAGATATAATAGTGCTAAATGTGATTAGACAGATCTATGAAATACATATTAATAAATACACATATAACTACGTTTGGTGCGCGACTTAAATTTCATTGGTTACCCAACAGGTCGGACAAAAGATATAGCTTATTGTCTCACAATAACAATAAGCTATATCATGTGCCAGACAAATTGGGTAAACAAAACTTTAGTAGCACACCAAACCTAGGTATATATGTATGTATTAATATATATATATATATATATATATATATATATATATATATATATATAATAAACCCAAAGAGACAAACCTACCTAGGTTTTACCTAGACGGATCGTCAGGTTTGTCTGGCTCTTTAGGTTTACTTAGTTTGCTCTACTTAGCGTTGAGCACTTTGCTTTGTTTTGTTTTGTTTTTTTTTGTTTTTGTTTTTTTTACTTTACTCGTGTCGGAGGTTTTTTTCTTTGGACACTGAACTTAGATTCTAGACGATTATTTTCGCCGGAAGTATATGTTCTTAGTTCTTTCTTTTTTTACACTTTTTTTCCCACTTGGATATTGTTTTGTTCATTTACAAGCTGAAACACCTAAGGTTTTGCCGGACGAGTATAGCTGCTTATATTTATAAGATTATTAATGTCATATATATATATATATATATATATATATATATTACTTATTACACTACCGAGGGTAGTTCACTTAATATTACATGTATGAAATAGTATGACACCATTTAGGGCTGCTAGAAGGAGAAAAGAAAAAGGAAAGAAAAAAAAAGAAAGGCGAGAGTTAAATTTAGATGATAAAAGAAAGCCATCAGGAAAAGGACATTAAGCGGTGTTATTTTGACAAGGAAAAATGGTAAAAATTTTATTGTCATTGTCGAGAATTCTAAATAGATAAAAATTAATTGTGTCATGGTGGCGAACTCATATTATCTGAATAGATAAACATTTAACTGTGTCACGGGAATGCCATTTGGGGCTTCCACGGAATTATAAAGAGATAAAAATTAAACAGGTCATCCGCTCACCGAGAAACAAGGATGTCCGTTGACCACACACGAGTTGCAAAAACAAAAGACCAAACCATAGGTTAAGTCTTTGTCGATAGGAAGATATCGTTTGGACAAGGCATCTGGGTTGTGTTGGAATTTGACTATGACAGCGAAACTATTTTATCAGAAATCGGCACCAAGAATGCAAATACGGCTAGGATAGCGAAACTACCTTATCGGGACGAAAAGTTGGCTGTGTTTCACTAGATGACCACTCACTTGATAATTGGCGAAAATCTCATTGATAGGTACCAGGTGACATTGAGGATAAGAGCTGCGATTAAGGGACCACACTACGAAAGAAAAGAGAAAGAAAGAAGGGAAAAGGAAAAAGAAAAGAAAAGATTTTTTTTTTTTCTTCGAGCAAGATTTTTTTTTTAAAACAAGGCTAGTCTGGTCACACCCACACTGCTGGCCGCCCATTGGCTGAATGTTAACTAGAGCCAGGCGGAGGTGATCATGTGATGCAGGGGGGGCTGCGACCACCCATTGAAGGGATAGGTATGAGATGTCACTGCGAGAGAGAGGGAAAACCGTTGACGCTCTCTGAGGGTATGGTGAGATACCCATATGAGAACAGAAGAAGGTGGGAGTAGGAGAAGACTTCCAAAAATGGAAAGGAGTGGAAAATTCCTGACCGAAAACAAAAGAAGTGGACTGTAGATTTAGAATTATCAAGGAACCTCAAACCCCGACGAGCCCACCCCGGTTTGGGGCGGCGTCCATATAAGCAAAGTCGCAGCGAGCGAAAATCAGTTTCGAGTTTTCCAGTTTCGAGTTTCCAGTTCCAGTGAGTTCGAGTTTAAGTTGAGAGCTCTGAAGACCCACCACACATTAACTGGCTAAGATTCACGCAATTCCGAACTCATCTTCAATCCAAGAACAATTTATTTTTGAAGAACGACTTAGACTCATACCACCAAAACAAGTTTTACGAATTTCGCCTAAAGACACACCAAGAACCAGTTTCTTAAAAGAACAAACAACTCAAGATGTTAAGACTCGCCTAACAAAAACAGTGTCACGAATCCATATAGCGGTTTGGGAGAAAGACGTAGTCTTATATTCAGCAACCAGATATAAAATATTGTTATCCTTTTTAACACATTTGAACTTTTCGAGTTGTAATTTTCTTTTCTTTTACATCTATTTGTGCGATATCGCCCTTATTCGAACTCGACTTGCATTACGGCCCCGGCGACTGATTGATTTCGTCTGCCTAAGATCAATTCACAACGTGGGTAGGTAGACTAGAAATCAAAGCAGTTACTTCGGTAACCAGACGTTGGAAGCGAGCTGGGAACGACGAGGCTGATACCGAATCTAACCAGATTCCCATCCGAATCACCAAAAGGTTAGAACGTCACAACTGGTGCCGCGACCAATACCAAGCCAGTTGGTCGTCACAGGACGGGGTAGCACGACTGACGCAGACAGGCGGACGTCACGTTTGGAGCGGCGACACCTCGGTCCACGTGGACGACAAAAAATGTTCCTGAGAAGAAGGTTATGCGTCTAATACAACTCATCATCAAGAGAACATATAACGTAATAATGTAAACGAAAGAAATAGTGGAGGATAGTCTCTGTCCTCCACCTCCAAAAATAATAATTCTAATTTCTCTACGGTTATGGATTCTTCTGTAGGCTGTTTATTTCGTTGTGTTTGTCTCTATACCTTTTCTTTGGTTTTGGTGGATGTGCAGATGGTGCATTGGATAGCGGCTCAAAAGGAGAAATTCGTGAGCTGTGTTCGAATTCCTGTCGGTTTCGTTACATTCACTTGCTCTTAAATAGACTTGGGAAAAGTATGAGTTCCACAGCAATGGGTTAAATAGTGGGGCTTATATTTGAAAAAGACTGTTATTCTGAAAACTAGTTGTTAACGATATATCCACTCAGATTATTCTTGCAATCCAAAATATGTTTCGATTTTAAATAACCCACAAATGGTTGACAAGCGATAAAAACAATATATCATTGTTTTGGTTTTCTAATTTGTTCTTTTTCTTTCATTTTTCTCTAGTTTAATAGAGAACTAGGACAATGTTGCCTTTTTTTTTTTTTTTTGAGAATTTCCTATGAGTGTTAATCTCTCTAGACCTTCTTTCCTCGTTATCTATCCGAGAAATTTTACCTTCCTCTTACTGATTTTAAGAAACAGTTTCTTTTTATAGACATTTTCCTTAAAGCCTACTCGCCGCTCGCATGTCGTGTCTATGGCATTCTTAGCATTGACCAGTAGTGTGACAGAGTGGCCGCCTCGTCCAAGATTTTAGTTGCTTGTGAATAACTTTCGTGACTAGAGCGAACGAAGAAGTCACACTAAATAAATGAAAGTAGGTATCGGGAAGTAAAAGTTAAGAAAACTGTAACGGAAAAAGAACTAGACGAAACGGTTAATTAAAACGTACATAAACGCCTAAGGTTTCAAATTGGTATGTCAAAACCTGTAAACCTAAATTTTATACATATAAACAATTCTTTTAAATCATCAGTGTTCTATTCGGATCCCCTCGAAGATGTTGTATTCTGCCCCATGTCGGACTGGATGGACAAGTATGAATTCTTGTGGTGTGATTGGGGTAATTGCGATAATGAATGAATTAACGAGGTGTAGGATAGACAGTTTTGTTTTTGTTTTTTTAAGCAATTCACCCCAAGCAAGGCAGGAGTGCCACTAGCACGCAAGAGGTTACAGAGGGTAGAGAACAAAAATAAAGAGGTGTGTTTGAGGAAAGGTTACAGAGAAGGGCGGGGAACAAGATCAAAGTATCAGAAGATGACGATTGACATTACACTTGAATATTTGAAGATTATAGCTACCAGGGAAGCAAACAAGAGGAAGGGAGTTCTGCAGACGGGAAGTGCGAGGGAAGAAGCTGTTTAAGTAGAAGAGACTGTTACATTTAACCGTTTCGACCTTGAAAGAGTGGGACCGAAATGCCAAACTAGTTGCTCGCTTAAATTCATGCAGTCTGGGAACCAGCGAAAGTAGCTCGTCGGAAAAGTTACCGTAAAAATACTTGTAGAATAGAAAGAGGGAAGGCAAGGTACGTCTGTGAGAAAGCGACTATAGACGAGATGGCAGATCAGGACCTATCGCATTGCATATTCGTCTCTGGATTTTGTCGAAGACAGATGATTGATTTTAAACATATGGTGTTGACCAGCTTTTCCCATTTCCCCCTTCGCACTTACATCACAAATTAATATATCCACATTAATTAATTAAATATATTTGAGGATGCGGGCTTTTAAGTTATAATCGTCTTTATTTATTGATGGACTTTCTTTTTTTTTCTTTTTTTGTATGAGTATATTCTTTTTTGGCAACTGTTCCGATTGCCAACCATTAAAAGTTGTCAGTTCATCCAAGTAAGAAAGCATTGTGTTCCCGCCTTGAAAATTAACATTCATTTTTTTTTTTTGGCTTTTACAAAAGCTTGAACTCATTCCTATCAGTTGTAGCTACAATTTTCGTGGCTAAGCTTAGCTCAACTCTTCCTCCCTCTATATGTCTGTCTGTCTGTCTCTCTCACTGTCTACACGTCTTCTTTCTGTGTACAAATGTTCGAACTTTCCCACACATTACCTTGTACACCTGCTCATGCTCTCTCTTTCTCTGTCTTCTTTACTCATCATCCACCTCTACCCCTTACCCTTCTGACTTCGCCACTCTTTCTTTGTCTACCTCCCCCTTTGTAATATCACTCTATTACTCTCATTGTGGTCTTCTTTCTTCTCCGTCTACCTCCACATTCACTCTCACACCTTGCCTCGTTCTACCCACCTTTTTTGCTCCTCATTCCTCTCTCCCTCTCCTCTCTTTCTCTTTCTCTCTCTATCAACGTAATTTCAACTTTGTTCACCTCTCTCACATTCTAGCTTTATTTCTTCGTCCACCCCCTCATCCACTTCTCACTCTCTCATTCACACTCTACTCTTTTCTCTCCTCAATCTACCGCCATATGCATTCAACTTCCCACACGCTAGTCTTCTATTTCGCCCACTTTTTCATTCACTTCATCATTCTCCCTCTCTTTCAGCTTAAACTTCTTTATCTCTTTTACTCGTCCACACTTTCTGCTCACTCTCACTTATTTTTACGATCTCTACTTTCATACTTTTCTGATCGTCCCATTTTTTGGTTTCCTTCTACTTTCCTTCTTTTCTTTTCAAAGTCCCTTCTTCTTAATTTGTTTCAGTCTGCCGTCTTCCTAATTCCTTTACGTACGTCCGCCATCATTTTAGGCCATTTAATTGTACCTATGCTCTCGTGTTAAATTGAATATTTCGCACTTAAAAATTTTTTTTTTATATCACGAGCTGGTGAGGTGTGTAAAGTGATTTTGCCTTAAACTAAAGCCAATATTAACATTAATGGCCTCCGTTCCAAGAGAAAGTCTTCAGCTTAGAACCTATTCTTAGTCCAATGAAATCGTTGCAGCAATATCGGAAAGGAAAGATATAAAATATTCCGTTTTCACTTCAAGTCAATTGAAGTTACCCATAAGCTTCTAGCATCGAGAAATAGCATCCAATTCACGGCTAATTTTTAACTAAGAAAAGTAAAAGCTAATAGTTCCCAAAAAACTTTCAAGTATAAGCAGGCATTTCAAGATTTTGGGATTCTTCAATATTGCAACTCTTTTCAAGAACTTCACTTTCTTATCTTCATTATATAATCGGCTGGAAAAAAGTTAATAGCATTTTTCCATAGGTGTCGTCTGAGCAGGTGATTACGTTTCATATGTGACAGAAATCTATGGCATATATATATATTCTTTTTTTTAATCCTGTGTATTTAGGTAGCAAATGTTCTTTATGGCAAATATAAAAAAATAATTTAATTTCATTAATTAATTTTACTGATCGACTATCCCAAATGACGAATAACCTTTCTCAGACAAGGAGGAAATTCCGTCAGAAAAAGTTCATTTCGGAAGAAAAGTACATGAAATATGGTTCATGGTTTCGACTTTCTTAAGTCATCATCAGGGTCAGTAGAAACGATGGTGAGTTCAGTAGTTAGTGTTGTAACGTAGGAAAGACCCTTTGCCTACGTCGCAACACTCACTAGTTCTATGAAACTCATTGTTATCTCTACTGATACTGACGATGATATAAGAAAGTTGAAAGCGTGGCGTGATGTGTTTATTTTATTATATACATTTGAGAATCTACTCATCGCCAGAATACAGCGGCCCTTCTTCTGTTGGTTGGTTTGATGGGCAATACTAACACAGTTTGTTAGTTATCTTTGAATACTTTGTTTATTTTATTTTGATTATCCACTTCATGTGATAATTTTTACATATTTTTTTTTAAATTTATAAAAGGCAAATAAATTTTGTACATATCAAGAAGATGAACTGAAGGCAAGGTTTATGACAGCATACCCCAACGTAAATGAGGAGACAGTCAGGAAAATTTGCAGAAGATTCCCACTTCGTCTTGGAGACCGTGATTGAATCCAATGGCGATTTTATTGAATAAATTTACTCTTTAGTATTTCAAGATATTTTTATGCAATTTTGGTAAGATTAGATGTCAGTGTTATTTTTTCAAGATTAGATGTCAGTGTTATTTTCATTTTTGTGTAACTAAGACGACAATTTACCCATCGCACCCTGCACACACACACACACACACACACACACACACACATACACATATGTATGTATATATATATATATATATATATATATATAGATAGATAGATAGATATCATATATACATCTATGTATCATATGTTTTATGCATGATATATATATATGTATTATATATGTTATAAATATATACATATATATCACATATTCGTATATATTATATATATTATTACATGTATACATATTATATACGCATACACAGTGTGCGATGGATAAATTGTCGTTTAATTTACGCAAAACAACCCTAACTAGGGTCTGAATGTAATTTAGCATTAAATGCAAAGGATATTCATTTAACAAATTATTTGACAGAAAATTATATTTTTCACACATCATTAGACTTAATAAAAAAAAATCTTAAATATATAAGTCTCTAAAACTTCTATTATTTTGAATGGTATATCCCAGCCCAGTGTGTACACATGTGTAGAACATTGCTCGTACGAAAAGTCAAGTTCATTAATAATACATTTTCCAGACGATCATAAATATTTCGACTGGCTTTGCCTACAATTACTTTTTCGCTGTCACTTTCAAATTCCGTATTGCTAAATTGTTCGATTTTAAAGAAAAAACACACGGTAATCTGTTATTAAAGAAATTCTGAACACCGTTTATCTACCGGACTTTTTTTTCTTTCCTTCTTTAATTTCTAGTTTGAGTAAAATTGCATCTTTTAGTTTGTTTTTAATTATTCTAATTGAATTCATTACTGAAACGTCATAGAATATGTGAACTGCATTAAGAATAGGCGGGAATTAAGTGCTTTAAATTACATTCGAAAAGATTTAATTAAAAGAATTAGTAATATATATATATATAGGGTGCGGTAGAAATACAAATAATGTTAAGATATTATCTAGATGAAGGCACCATTGCTACTATTGTCTTACCATTATGTAGGAAGTATATAATGTCATTCGCAGACAGTGCTGTTTCGCTATATCACAAGTGCGACTAGACATCAGAATACCTCAAGCCAGGACTAAAACCTGACCGATTTGGTGTCGGTCAGAGTTTCTACCACTAAGCTATCATCACTCGGCAAAGAGAAACAGCTAATTCTAGCGTATTGTTTTTACGAATGTAAACAAACGCCAATCAGTCAGTGTTCAAATTTATTATACTGAAGAAAATACCAATTTTTAATTGGTAGGGAGAATTCCTAAGACGATATTATATCCAAAAGATATATTATTTATTCTTACAATAATCCTTTCTAGTTCTCTAATTATCTTCTTGGTTTTAAGTTGAAATTCAATACCCGTAATAAATTTTGTTCAGTGTTGCTTGCTTTTGATATAGAGATCCTCTAGAATTTGAAGTTTTTGTTTATTATTTTCCTGGTGTTGTATATTGGAATTGTCACCAAGTATTTTCCTGTATTGAATAGAAATTTGTCTTTAAATGTTGTGCGATAGAACTTTTATCCGACAAATGGAGCGCAAGACGTCCTGATAATATTGTTGTTGTCATGCCAACTTACGTAGTTACTTTTTTGTTAGAAACAGAAACTGCCGAAGGACATTTAAACTTATATACAATGTTGGTCTTTTGCAAAAGTGTACATATATATATATATATATATATATATATATATATATATATATATAAATATAAATATATATATATATATATATATATATTCGCATTTTTTAGCAAAAATAAGACTATTTATTCGCATTATTTGCGTTGACAATGGAAGTGGGTTTGTTATCATGAATAAGAATTGCTACAACGAAAGAAAATTACATTATTATACAAACGCTTCCTGAAACCTCAATGAAGACAAATATTCAACAAATCAATTAGAAAATTACTAAATAATAAGGATAAAACATCAACAAAAATGATCGAACCCCAAAAGATTCAGACTTTATTCCTTTATTATATATATATATATATATATATATATATATATATATATATATATATATATATATATATATATAATGTGTATTGGGGCAACTGATCATTATTCAAAGATATATATTGTTAAATATAACTGACAATGAATGTCTATTATGTTTGTCCATGAGCCGTTCTAAGCTTCATATAGTTGCGTTAATTTCGGGAGAAAATGTCCAAATGGTGGAAAGTTTTTGTCTTTTATTTTCTCCTGAAATTAAAGCAACTATACGGAGCGTAGGACGGCTCATGATCAAACATAGTAGACATTCGTTGTCTGTATATATATATATATATATATATATATATATATATATATATATATATATTCTGTTAACAACTGTTGATTTAGTTGTGTGTGTGTACAGCGCTAGTTATTAATGAAACTTGTATAAAAGAGGGATTTCTGTCCAAAGACACAATTATATATAGAAATGTATATGTTCCATTAAAAATGACTGATACGTTACTTGTGTGTGGGTTTTTATTTTTTTATTGTGTGCGACAAAGAGATTTCTTTTTTAACTTATTTTTTATAAAAATCCTCCAAGTAATTGTTCTTTTCGAACGTTTTCGGCTAATCTGTTAACTATTGTACACTATATTCGTTGTGCTATTCTAAAGGTGATATAATTTGCTGAAAAGTAGACATTTTATTTTCCGATTACATCCAATGCCATCTGCGCATGATCATAGTTGATGTGGCTACCCTTTTTGGCTATCTCTCTTCTTTTTTCTTTTTTTTCGCTATTTCTGATTAAAGCTTCTAATATTTAAAATATTATTAAATATCATTAAAAATAATAGAAGCCATTATCAGAAAAAAAGCACAAGAAAACAACAAACATCACATGAAACATACAATAAATCTAAGAGAAACTTTCATTTAATAAAAAAAATATATTTGACATGATTGCTATCTAAATACACAACAAAAAGATAACTGTTTCCTGTACAAAATGTCGGTTTTTAATGTCTTCTCTGTGCCGTGTACTTTTAAAACATTGGTGATAATATCTTTGAAATTATTAGTATGTATTTTGTTTACACTATCCTTTCCAGCATCTGTCGTGCCAACCATTTACAAAAGCACGTTAGGTCGGTTACTTCATTCTTTCCTCTGTCCATCTTGCCTTCAATATGTTTTGTAAGTGTCATATTCTACAAGCCTTCTTTCCTCGTTACCTGCCCTAAAAAGTTTAAATGTTTCTTTCTGATTCTAAGTGTAAGCGGGCGTTTTTTTTTTTCCATTTTCCTTAAAACTCCCTCGTTACTCACATGTTCAGTCCACGGCATTCTCGGTGTCTTTCTGTATTTCTACTGCCTCAAGTCTCTTTTTCGTCTATAAGAAGATTGCCCTGACGTCAACTGCCATACAATTTCTCTTAGGTTTTTTGGGTTTTTGAGATATCTTTTTAAAACTTAAACCCTCTTTTATTTATTTCTAACGAATTCTTTCCCGTTTGCAGTTTTCTTCTATTTTTCTGCTCTCTTTCTGTCAATTTCATGCTTCCATCCTTCCAGACCTTTTCTAGTATTGGGAGCAAGAAGCGTGTATTTTTGCCGTCGCCCGGAGAAACTTGTTTTCGTGAAGAGAACAGGCCGTGCTATCTTGTGAATACGGTGGATGAGTTAAAAATATTTGCCCCAATTTAAAAGGTTCGGTTCCGAATACTACTTTTCTAAACAAAAGCGTTGTTTTTTCC